ATATTAAAAAAAAAAAAAAAAAGAGCCGGTTTGAGTTGTTTTTTTTTTTTTTTTTTAAAGGTTGAAAAAAGAGTCTTTGCGCTCCACGTCAGCACTTGCTAATTTAAGCTCCAACTACTACCATCTTCCCCCGAACACAACGCACCCTCATTACGACCGTATCGGACCGGAAAGATAGCTTGTATACATTCATAATCAGGGTGCGTTGTGTTCGGGCGAAGACGGGGGAAGATGGTAGTAATTCATAGTATTTAATAATAGTAAATCAACCCCTTTTCCTTTCTATTCTTTGCCAAACAATAGAAAGAAAAAGGGGTTGATTGCTTCATAAAGGATGGTAATTACAGCCGTATCGGACCGGAAAGATGCCTTGTGTACATTCAGTCTCGCATCTATCTTCATGGCGTTTATAGATGACTTTTTTTTTTTCTTTTTTTTTGGAAAAGAAAAAGACCAATATAGATGACATTGTTGTTGTCATCATGGAGGTTAAGAAAGGCGCGAGGTTGACGAAGGCGCGGTAGGAGGCCCTTTTTTTTTTTTTTTTTTTTTTTTTTTTTTTTCCCTTTTTAAAAGCTAATTCTTTCTTAAGTCCAACATCAGTTTATGCGTCAAATCTGCACAGGGGGGACGGCCTTCCAGGGCCTTTTTATTATCATTATAGTAGTAGTACGAGGACACGGCGAAGCAAGTTTTCTTCCTTTTTTTTTCAAAAAAAAAAAAAAAAGAGCCAATTTTCTAGGGCATTCTACGATGACATCAAAAGGCCCTTGACTTTAAAAAAAAAAAAAACCCTTCATCGTCTTGTAGTGGGCGTGGAAGATCCGACCCCGACCACAAAGCATGGATGATCAACCGGCCTAGCTCAGTTAGTCCCCCCCCCTTGAACTGTTCAATTACGGACCTGAGTGTTTTTTTTTTTGTTTTTTTTTTTTTTTTCTTCCCCGGGGAAAGCAAGGATTCCATTATCATGAAACATGAGGCCTGGAATTCCTCACCAACAACCCGGAAACGAACACTTGTCACAACTGGGACCATTACCGAGGGTCCCAATTTGTGGGTTCCACCCCAACCCAACAACACGTGGCTCGTGGCAGAGCCATACATATCAACAGAAGGGGTCCGGCAGTCCATTGGCCTCACCGGAGAACAACCAGAATGAACGAGACCGGAAATCAATCGAACAGGCAATACAAAAAAAAAAGAAAAAGCAAAGAAAATGAGAAACGACAGACCTAGCTTCTCGGGAAAAAAAAAAAAAAAAAAAAAAAAAAAAAAAAAAAAAAACCGACAGACCTGAGTTCAAACTCCGCCGGCGAAGCAGATGAGTAAAATACTCCAGTTCTGAATTATCTAGGGCCGGTCGCTTCTATCATCTATGGAGTGAGTGCATTTTCCTTTCTATCGGGTTGCTGATGTATCTGGCTCTGGTTGGCTTCCATCAATTTGACGTCTCGTCACGTTGTTCTGTTAGGTCCAATGATGATCTGGCTGTGGACCGACCTTCGGATGCGTTTAAAAGTGAATGCTATCGCCGGGTGATTGCTTGTTGCTGAGTGCTGATATTTCATCGGTCGGTTCACTGATGATATATCAAGGCCGTCTCCTTTTAAGGGGGGAAAAAAACGAGAGGAGAAAAAAAAAGAAAAAAAAAAGCATGGATGACGTGGCGGCGCGAAAGCAGCATTTGGACACGTGCCAACTGGCCCACAACACAACAGCTCAGTTGGTACACCTATAAAAATGTTGTAACGCACTGTTGTAACAAAATAAATAAATAAATAAAAAATCAAGAGTCGTTCTTCGGGACATCCGTTAAAATTGGAACGATACAGAGAAAGAAGATTAGCATGGCCCCTGTGCAAGGGATGACAAGCATAAATCCAGAAATGGTAACAAATTCAAGAGTTATTTTTACTCATCCCATTCCATCCGAGTCCGAACTCCGATGGAATGGGATGAGTAAAAATAACTCCGAATTTGTTGCAATGGGGCCTCGCTGCACTACTCTCGAAATGTGCAAAACGAGAGTGAATCTTTCGCTAGAATATGGAAAGATACACCGCCATGATTTTTGTCTTTTGTGCATTTCGAGAGTAGTGCAGCGAGGCCCATGGTGTATTGTTATTTTTGTTTTCCGCCCTTATGAAATTGGTCGATTAGTGCGTGTCGTCCTTGCGCAGGGGCCATGCTAATTACCCTTCTCTCAGTTCTCTGGAGCGTTCCACTTTGTACGGATGTCTCGAAGGACAACTCGGAATTTACCTGGGGCAGGTCAGTTGAAAGGTCATATCCTCAAGGCCGTCACAGTGAAAAAAAAAAAAAAAAATGAAAAAAAAAAAAAAAGAAAAGAAAAGAAAAGAAAAGACCCGTCGACGTGTACACACACCTCGCTGTTCTTAGCAAACGACCGTCCGTAAGTATGGATGACGTGGCGATACAGAGGAAGCAGCAGCAGAGTGGCAACCCCGCTGCCGAGGCCCCCGTTGTTATGTGGAGTCTTCGCTTGCCTCCTTGCTACGTACCTTGCGTGGGTGAGGTTGTGGGTTCAAGTCCTATCGGCTACCTCCACTCCTGCGCAAGCCTACTGTCGTCCCCCGAACAACGCACCCTCATTCTGACTGCATCTGGCCGGAAACATACCTTGTATACTTTCCTTTTCAGGGTGCGTTATGTTCGGGGGAAGGGGGTAGTACCGGTAGTTCGTGTTAGTTTGACGCCCGAGATACCTGTCCCCCAGTCTTTTCTTTTCGGGATTTTTTTTTTTTTTTTTTTTTTTTTCCCCTCTCTCAATTTCACCTCACACTACCTCCCTACCACTACTCCTAATTGTAGGCATACGGGGAACCCCGTAGCAGCCAGAACCGTGTTCACGAGAGAACATGCGGGGGCTGCTCCCGACCTGCAGGTGGGCGATACCGGCTAGGGGACAGCCGGTAGCATCAGGGACCATGCCAACAGGACCAATCCCTGTGCCTCCCCTCATAAAGTTTTCGGCCTCCTTAGCCCCCCCTGTGCCTCCCCTCAGGTCCCCTCCCCTATGAACATCAGCAGACTCTGCTAAATGCCAATCGGGGGATCCAGTGGTCTATCTCTAGGTGGCGGGCGCCAAGCATGCACAGGAAGGTACATGAGGCCAATGGGGATTGAACCCACGACCTCCTGAATTTGTGTCGCCACCCTGAAAGCTGAATTAATTTGCACCACCCAGCGGTCGAACTGGTGACTTTTTTTCGGTCCTGTGTGGTCCAGGTCTTTTTTGGCACCAGGTTGAGGTGGTTAGATCGACATCAGTACTTTCTGAGCTCGATCTGAATCCGTGACTTGTAGTTTTTCTTGGTACTACCGGATTGGTTCGGAATTGGCCTGTATGGGGTCAGGAATCTGTGCGCGTCACCTTTTGTCTGGAAGCTTCTCACCTTGGCTGTCTTCTAGAGTTTTTCTCCTAGGAATAGACATCCCGTTTATATAAATAGGTGGTGCGCAACTGTTCACTAAAGACCCCTAATGAGAGCTGGCCACGGCGGCCAGCGGAAACCGGTCGGGTCGAACGCCGTCGGTTCTTTTTTTATTTTATTTATTATTATTATTATTATTTATTTATTTTTGGGAAATCAGGGCCCAGTGCCCAAGGCTCTTATTAGAAATTCGAATACATGGCAGACACACGCCTCTTCCCATTAGGGCTGGAAGAGCCACGGCCACTGCTCCCTTAGAGACAGGTTCCCTGTACGACAAAAATGGAGAATGAAGATTGGGAACTGAGCATTGATTGCTTCCCCAGGCGGGAAGGATTAACTCAGCCCCCTGGACAATCGACCTCTGCCCTTCAGTACCAAACCAGCAATGATCAATCCCTAGAAAACAAGATTTCGGGGGAAGATACAGCAGGGCAAATCAATCGAGGGGATCCCAGATTCCAGTCACAAACCCTAAGTGAGCATGACCCAACGTAGAAGAAATCAGGAATGAAGAGGAATCAAAGAGGAATCAAACACGCCGTCGGTTCTATCTGTACTACACTCATGTTTTTTTATGGAACCTAAGTCGCACTCGGGAGTTTCACCATTTATCCGGGTTGTCGTGTTCTGTTTTTTACCCTCTTCCTTCTTCCTCCTCCTCCTCCCATTCTCTGTCTTTTTGTCTACTGTTGATTGGAGTGGTCGATCCAGTTCGCTCTGCTTACTTGCTGTCGATTGACAAACAAAAAAACGTAGCTCAGTTGGTTAGGGACACAAGTGGCATTCAGAAGGTTGTGGGTTTGAACCCCATCCCCGCCTGATACCCCTGATCGGTATACTATAAGGTCTGTGGGCCTCGTTCCACTCCACTTGAAACTCACGTATGCTGAAGGAAGCATCGTTCCACCATGATCTGGAAGTCCCAAATGTTTCCACATTTTGCATCTCAAGGGGCCGCTCTTGAAACTGAAGAGCGGCCCAGTCAAAGGATGAAAATTTCAAGGGCGCCTCGGGAGGTCACTAGAGGCTCAAGGGCTGGAGGGTACGTGGCAAGGAAAAAACAGAATTTTAGTTTTTCTTTTTTCCCCCCTTCCGTCCAAGGATTGGTCGTGCCTGTTCGAGGATTGGCCTTGGGGCTCAAGGGCAACGGCCTTGAGATATCATCATTGGACTGACCGACCATAGGTAATTCGGTATTATTTTATTCTCGTCATCTGATTGTATCTGGATTCGAACTGCGGTCTCTATTTCAACAGTTTGTGGGTGTACCAAGTTAGTACCAACTGAGCTAGGCCCGTTGGTAAGGGCGGCGTTTTCAACTGTAGGTCGACAGGAGCGTTATCGCGCAAGATTGGTTTGGCCTCCTCCTGAACTCCTTTCTTCTTAGCTCTTTGCTCCGCTGTCGAGCGCATCGGCTCCCGCCTTTTTCGCAAAACGCGGGAGCCCTCCTGGCCATGTCACACAGGAGATAAACAAAACAAAACCCAAGAGACAACTCGGGAACGACGCATAACTAATCCCGCGAGCCGCCGAGACGGGCGCGGTCGCGTCGTCCCTTCGCCGCTCTAGCCGGGTGCGCCAGCTATACATCCCGCAGTCCCTTACGACAGGATAGGTTCTCGCAAGGCATAAGTTTTCCTTCCCTAAGGGGCTGTCACCACCCTTAGGGGCGTATCCCTACCGAGCTACTCACCCACGTGCGAAAGTTTTTAGATGAAATTGCAGAGATAGGTCAACCGAGGGCATTTGCTCGCTCGCTGTAGTATAGATACGCTAAGCCTTGGTTAACGCCACGCGAACCCGAATGTCGTCCATTCCTAGGGCGCTGATCTCCTAGGTGCGGAGTGGACGCCGCTCGACTAGGACGGTCTCAACCAAGCGTAAAACCCAACATTAATCCTACTTCCTTTAACACACAATCAAAAGAAAGTTGTAATAACCATACATAGTTATATCAAAAGAAGCCGACCGTAGTCGACACGAATATATCCAACCTGAAATGATAACTGGAAGAATAGAAATCATCATTTAATACATCCAATAATACAAGATCAAAATAAAATCAGACCACCTTGGGTCGAACTCCACAAAACAAATCAAACAACCGCCAACAAGGAGTCGGCTACCGGCAATAACATCGATGCAACCGACAAGGTAATCGGCTACTTTAGTTTTGACTTGATGAGACGTGCTGCAAAAGTCATTCTTTTCAGCCTACCGCCAACCTAAGATTATACACGCTCACACATGTCTCCATACTTTCTCAATCTTATTAGATGACAGACTACTTTGCGAATGATTTCTTGATCAGAGGCATTGCTTGACGTGTTGCAAGCCTCTCCCTCTAGGAAGTGGTCAGGGGTACCGCTCCTCCTCGTCTGAGCACAAGACTCGGATCTCAGAAGTCGTACCGTCTCTACCGAATCAGCAAGTACCCCTCCGTAGAACGGTCCACTCCGGGTCGATAACAGGGTCGGTTCTTGAGGCAACGAACCCCCACCCCACATGCTTCCTAGAGATAGAACATGTGTCCGCTGCAAGTAGCCTTCATATATTTTTTTATTTCTCCCGAATTCAGGGTAGCTTTGACGAAAAGAAATCAGAGGAGATAAAGACTGAGAATCATTTGGACAGGTACATGTAGATAAGGTCATTCGAGATAGAACGGGTCAATTATAGGGAAAAGACTAAGTCCGTTTGACCTTATTCTGCTTAATTTCAATCGGATTTATTCTACGACACACGCTGAATAATCTTTTTCAAAACAACAAGTTTTTTTTGACAAGCAGGCAGGTAAGAGGTAGAAAAAAGACAATCTTTTCATCTTCCCGAATAGGCATAATCAATCTCCTTTGCAAGCATCCTTCTACCTACCTATACAACATGCAAAGAAAAGAAGTTCAAAAGAAAACAGTACAATCCCAGACTTACGTCAGACCTTCTCATTCACATGCATGACTTGTATAACTTTCTCTACCTTTTCTTTCGAACGTTCAAAACAACAAGGTCAAACAAAGTGTGGGTTCACACATGTGTGATAGGAAATCTGAGTCAATCAACTGACTGACCTTGAGTGAAGTTTGATCCGGCCCACTCAAGAAAGCCGGGTAATATTTCAATCAGAAGAAAATGACCGCCGTAGAAAAATATGCGGCACACAACTCATACGTTGTGGCCTTTCTCCTGAATCACGGTCCGCATCCTCCACCAAGTGTTTGAATGAGCAAGAGTCGGCCCATAGAGAGGACTTAAGTGGGATAACCCTCCAGGAGGGTGCTCCCATAATCCAATCCTATGTCGCCCCAACCTTCTGACAGTGAACAATTTCAACGCAGTCCCTACTGCACCACATACTCTAAGGACACTTCCCCAACCAACCGTAAGTCCATGCTGCCTCAAATCATCATATCCGCTCACAATAGTCACACCAACATGCCGGTTCCGATCTCAAACCCAGTTTCACCTTTTCCCAAAAACGGTCCCAGATGATCCCTGACGGCCCCACACCATCGCCTGCATCACCAGATGGTCCAAAACTCAAACCCGCTCGCTCTGCGTGCCATAAAAAAAATAAAGGTGGCCCTGGCTGAAAACCACAGGTGTCGCGAGCCCCATAATTACTTCGCCGCGTGCATCCACTCTGCACTTTCTTCATGTCGCCGACCCACACACTACTGCCGCACAGTCCCAACCACGCACCAGCGTCAGTCCAACCTCCAGGCCACACTGGGATCCACTACAACCGTCGCACACCACAAAAATAACGACGAACCACTGCTTGCTGCGCCGTCACCGGTACTATGCCGCCGTGCGGCACCACCGCTGTCGGTGCGAATACCCTGACAAGGGTATCTGCCTTGGTTTTTGCAAGTGGCAGAAAAGCTAAATTAATATGGAGTCTTTGAGTGTCTGCGCGGACCGCGGTGGTCGTCCGTACGCAGGCTAAGGGCTGTCTGAATAAAGGAGGCGAGAGGGCGCGCAGTTTTAAGGCGCGGGTGTG